TGTACACACGTACACATGCTTATACAGACAGAGCGAAGTCGAGAAATGCGCAAGAGCAAGCCACGCTCGCTCCGTCAGCGATGACGCATAGCTGGCAGGTTCCGCTGATAGGGAATCGTGGCTAGAAACAGCTAACAGTAGATGAAAGGACGATAGAAGGACGGGGGTCGGTAACAGAAGTGCCGCCAAGAAGCCCACGAGGTTCGGCGCTGCAGATTTGCATGCATCGTCCTACAGCAGCCGACTTCGTTTCCCGAATTCTTCCAAAAGCAACTGCCCCCACCTTTTCCCTCTCAACCTTCGAGCTTCTCCTAGATTCCGTCATTATCTCTTTTTGAATCTCTGAACCTGCGAAGCAGCATCTTCGTAACAAAAATCTGTCTTGTTGTGAATACGCTTGCCTGCCTGCGTTCGTATGATGCACGCAGGTCGGCTCGGGATGCCTGGTATGGGCCTCTACTATTTCTTTCATCCTTCATTTGACGTATCACTGGTGCACTGGATGAATGCAGTGTTGCGATATATTTCTTTCTGATGCTGGGCGCACCATGTGCCAATCAGGCTGGCCTGCAACTTTGGTGTTATCGGCAACCAGCGACCTATCCTAGTTACTCGTTCGTTTTCGCGAGGGAGACGGCATTCGGATACCGGTCGCGAGACAAGCGACGGCTTCTTTTTCGTTGTTCTGCAATTGTCACTGCTACAGTAGTCGATGCTATTGTTGTAATTGTTGTGTTACAAAGGTCTGCATCTGCTATTCGTGTGTTCAGACCTCTCTCTCACCCTATATTGCTCGCTGTTCTTCTATCGCAGATCTCGCTCGCTTTCTATCCTTATTCTCATTCCATAGAACAAGCTGTCGCTCACGATAGTAACTGCTGCTTGGTCGTGACTGATAGTAGGTCAGTGCAGGCTGGCTGGCTGGCTGGCTGGCTGGCGACAAGAAACATGTAGCAATACGGCCGATTTTTTTCCCTTGAAAAAAAGGAAAATTCTTTCTACTTCGCACATATTAGGGGATCGCACAAAGTTTGGATAGTTTTACATAGACTACCGTTACATGCGTCACACAACGGAACATTAAATTTGGCTGGCTGATGGTTGTGAACTCCACTTCAGTGTTTCAAGAGCTTAGCAAGCTACTTGTTATGGGAGAGCATCTCAGCAGACCGTGCATTGGACGCGATGCTTAGTGAACCAAAGCTGCAAACGATATTTTGGGCACGGAACTTTCCAACACCTTTTTAAGAATGAATGAGTGAATATCCCGTTCCGCCGTTACTGCCGATGTGGTATCCATGCCGTCTGCTAGATACACGCGTGTCTAACGCACGGTCTTATTTTCTGTCGCCTTTTATCTCGTAACAGCAGCGGTCCATGCGGCATGCGGCAATAGCCGCTAGTGCAAAATGATCGTGTTCGCTGTAGTGGAACATCGTCACTACATAGCTACTATTGTATCATGCTATGCGGACAGCGTGTCAAGCAGAAGAAACGGTCAGTCAAACGACAGAAGAAGCTACTGCTATGGTTTGTAATAAATACTATGCTATTAGAGAATTATGAATAGCAACGAGTTCAAGCTAATAGACGACAACGCGGTTCAGTTTACAGTTGTTTTGGTGGTAGGCGAGCATCAACGAGCAACAGTATTCTGGCCGCAGAACTGTTCAACGATGATGCAGAAACTTGGCTGGGTAGGCGAAAAATTGACCTTGTGTTAACATGAATCGAACCTGATCCACTGAAAAGTGTCTTAATCATTTTCTCCTTTCCCTATAGCTGAAAGCCAGTTGACTTTACCATTGAAAGAAATCTATTGCAGAATGAATGCACGTGCACCGACAAAGCTTAAACTGGGAAGCCAACAAAGGAAGGTACACAACGTAGGTAAACTTCTACCGTCCGTTTTGAAATTTAACTTAAAGCATCCGCTCAGGTCGAGTACGCATACCAGGTCAATGGAAGTATTTGATTGCCCAACCATTTTATGGACTTCCGCTGGCACGCTGTGCTTATCGCCGAATATGTACAGTTCTTGGTCAACAGACAGATAGGTTTAGAGTATACGTGCCGAGATCTGCAATCCTATTCCATAGGCCCTTCGCCCTCTTGGGTTCTCTTCTATTCAGCTACCTTTCAGATCTCGCCTCACACAGGTTTGATCAAGGCGTCAACTCTCCGAGATCCCATTGCACACAGTCCCAGTGCGCACTGTTTTCTCCTTTCCTACTCATTTAAACCGCTTCGAAGTAGCATCCGGCGCAGTTTGCTCTCAAGTCAGTGTCTCCAGGCTAGGACAAGTGCTAAAGAGGGCACTTAAGCCGTTCGCTGTCCACAGTTACTCCGCACCCCGGACTCGTTCGTTCACCTGAAAGCAACAGCTCCCAGCGGTCTTCGCCAGTCCGCTTAGCCCCATTCGACCCTTTTCGTTACACACAATGCAGCGCCTTGTCATTTGACCGGTACGTGATGCTAGCAGGCACCATCTGATATATTCGAATTGAACGAGCGAGAACTTTATTTCTACAATTCACCACAGAAAATCAGCCTATCGTCAGCAGCAGGAGTCGACAGCAAATCGCTTTTGCCGTCGTTTACCTTTCTGTAAGTTTATATAACCTCGGTCCACTGCTTTTAGCAAGCGACTCGTGTTGCTTTAATAATTGTAGTAGAAGCAAAAGCTGGTCTTGTTCGCCAGTAGTTTCTCGTAAGTTCGTGGTAGTGCGGACGTGAAAGTGGATGCTCACTCGTCTGAAAGTCCTTTCGGAAAGCTGCTCCTTCCAATTACCTCGAATACACCTCAGGGGCGATCAGGAACACTGTGCTGGGGCGCATGGTTTCTTTACCATCTGGGCCTGAGGATTGTGATCCTACGAACTACGGTAACTTCCTATACTAACGTAGTCGCTTTTCATTGAAGCGTCATACGGTTTCACTACAGAGGCTTTTTACATCTATAGCAATATATCCAAAAATACCGCGGCTAAGCCGCTAACATGCGTTACGCATGAGGAAGAATATTTCTTTTCACAATAATCTAGCCCTGTCGTGTTAGAGGCACACATCAAAGTAGAAGAAATCTGAGGAATCATATTATAAATTACACTAAAGTTCCTGTACCGTTCAGTTACTATGTTCCAATATCTTGTTTTTTGCGAAAGATTTACATGGTTGTTTCAGCTAACGTAAATATCTTCCCTACCAAACAACAAATGCAAATTTGCTTTGAACAAGTGCGTTTTTGTTAAAATGGCGCATGCCAAATTTCAAGATGTATACCTCGTGCACACCTTTGGACATAGATATAATAATATGCACTTAGAGCTTTTCGTTAGTTTTCGTCAACGGACTTAAGTCGAGATCAGCGCAAATCCAGAGAAAAGGGGTAGCATACCGCGTCTGGATTTTTCTAAGTACGACCCGGCATGCTTTGCCCTTGAAGAGGATTACGCGATTATGTGCGCTTCCCGAAACATTTTCAGCATTTCTCTTGTAGACATCCTGGAAGAAGACAACTGCCGCGGACCGGTTGACATCTTATGTGCCAGCTTTACTGTACCCGCAGCTAGTCATCCCTATCCGGATTCAAAGAGCTTCCTGCTTGTTCCTCCCTACATCACTCCAGCATCACAATGGATGAACGGCGAGGAGCAGCACGTCACAGAAGTACGTTAGGCAGGCTTTCTGAGATGCGGCTCCAACAGGCTCCAGTTGAGACTGGTGTTAAGGATTTCGCGTCTCCAGTCGCAATGCAAGGCGACAGCAAGCTCCAGCCCACCCAACCAAGGAACGGAGATGTATTCACGGACGCTATACTTGTACACATCCACTATAGGCATATATGCAAACATATACAGGCTCATAAAAGGTGCACTTACAAGAGGGCTACCCGAAAATCTAAGCCACACGCAGTTACGCCTTGCTTCACAGGCGCAAAGCTTATCTCTTGTATGTTTTTATACTTACCCACCGATTTTGTGACGCCCACATTTCGATCGCTGGTCCTCTCGTCTAAACCTTTGTACGTCTAAAGGGTGAAGCTTGCGAATAAAAACATTAGAAAGACGCGAACCACATTAAGAAGAAGTCGGAAAACGCATCATGAAGGAAAAGAAAGAAAGGAAAGAAGCTCATCGAACAGAACGCACTAACCCGCTCTCTGTACCAGCTTGACATGATTTGACAACGACATTGACACACCACCGTACAGGTCAACTCACGAGCCGTTGCCCCTCTTTGCCCTGTACTTTCATCCGTATGGATCTATCTGTCCTGTCGGTCCTCGTTCAAGATCCATCGTTTGCTTGAATCATCTAGGACCTGGGTCTCAGACCTTCCCCCGTTCGTCCAAGAGTCATACGACACCCGTTGCGGGGCCGCACCCGTGCAGGTAGGCCTGCCATAGAGCTGCCATTCTTCTTAGAATAATATATCGCACTCTCAAGTATATCGATCAACATTATTTCTGCAGGATGAGTGCTGCAAGCTGATAGAAAAGCAGATGGACGCGGATGAAGCGGACGCAGGCGAGATAGCAACCGATAATTCGGAATGGAAACTCCACTTGCCCTCTGGGTTATCGAAGGAGCGTCGTTGCCATTGAAGAGATTCGAAACAAAGATGGCCGGGTAAAGCACAATGATGAAAACAAGTAGAAACTAGGCACATAACGAAGAAAGACAACGGCCAAGAAGGTCTTCCTTCTTTCTGCTGTCAGAAAAGCAAGAAAAGAAAAAGAAGGAATGACACTGCAATAGCAGCAAGAGACTGTCCCGACGTATCAGCGGAGTCGTATTAATGGCGCTACGCGCGGGGCAAATCGGACACCGGCGGCAAATAACTCTGCTGAGCTATTATTATCGTTCTCATCCTTGTTGCCGTCGCTGCCGTTGTTGCTGTTGTCCTTATCTGCGTTATGTGTGTGCATACATATCTGTGATATAAATGACTGCAAACCATATTGTCGTTGATAAAATATGAAAAATATGTTCACGTACCTTATATGCAGGACGATCGTTCCGGACACCAATCCATCTCAGATGCCAGTCTGAAATAGAAAGTAAGATTCAAGCACGTCAAGTTTAATAGTGACGTTTTCTCAGTACTAGTAGGTTACGACTGTTCATACGAGTATCGTACGAGCGATGATACCGCGTACGCTTTTTGTGCAGTACAAACTACCTATCTTATCTTATGCCCTCTACCCTTTTGTCTTAAAGCAGACACACCAGCGCAACAACCACTACTGGAACTAGCACCACATTGCCACAGTGGTACTCCATTGGTATCATCTGATGAAGACACGCACGCGACCCCACGCGTTTCCCGGACACCCTCAACGCTTGCGTTGTGTGGCGCAAGCAATGAGAACTCCCTTCCATAAAGAGTCCTCGTTTCTCATATCTCTCATCACCTCGACTGTGTTTACACTACTGCTATAATTATCATTTGTTGGTGTTTCAGAGAGGTGATGGAATAGAAGGAAATTCATCTAACCCATCCCATCTAACCATGCAGAAATAGCTTGCCGCGGTTGCGACCGCCTTTAGTTAATGCTGGCCACCGAGAGTAACTAATTCTCTTGGGGCCCGAGCAACGGGTTGTCGCACTGCCTCGTTCTCGTTGCCTGGTGATCTGAGGCTCCGGGTCTTGTAGGCCTGGCGGTCGAAACAAGTCCAATCAACCTCCACATGTAAGGTCCTCTTCTTTGCACTGCTTTGCGTCTTCCAGAGCATAACACGAGTAGGATGCGCAGATTTCGTTGGGCTATAAGATCATTCCTGTTCAGCCATGCTACTTTGTTTCCTCCGTTTTGGCGCAACAACGTAGAGACCTCACTTCGTTTTCGTTACTGTTTTTCTCAGAAAACAAAAATCTTCCCTATTTTATGCATTCGTTAAAGTTCAGCCACTACGACTGCCCCGAAGATGAGAGCGGAGAGCCATGAAAGTAGATACAACAAGCTAAACGAAGCGGAGGCGATTTTGTGGCAGGCCGCCACTAACATCGGCTGCGCATGAAAAAGCCAGCTCTCGCTCTAAAACGCTCTTTGTTTCGCCTTCTCTATTCTATAACAGGAACTGCTGTTCCCTTTCGCATTGAGCTCTTACGTGCATTTAGAGCAGGAGGTTTGCCTCTGAACCTGCTTCTGGAGTTCTTTCTCAAGGCTCCTCGATGGGCTTCCAACCAGTAGCCCTGTACAGGCGGAGCACCAGGGCTATGCCCTTGCTCAACGGCAGCAGCCGCAGCAGCAGACTACCATATGCTGAACCTGTGCTCTTTGATGTGAAAGATCGTGCTGTGTCGCGCCTTTGTGTGTCCGACTGGGTGCGTGCTGCAAGGCTAGCCCGTCTCTGTATGGGATAGGTATGTACTTGTGTGTCTATGGAGGTGCTGAGAGGAAAAACGACGGCGGGTGTTGGCACAGCAACGGTGGTATCGTAGAACAGCGCAAGTGGCGGAGTAGGTGGCCGCGGCGACGGTAGCCATAATGATACAGTCCCGAACTTCATCAGCTGCAGTGTATGTTAACCAGCAGCTTGCCGTACAATACGGCCTGCTTAGAGCATCATCGCGGTTCGAGGCCAACTTAGCGCAGCTTAACAAGAGGGAGAGCGCGGTCTGGTTTTTTCTTTCTTTCGTCTACCGAGGAAACCGCTAGTACGGTGTAATACTGCTGCTGCGATCGTTCTGTGGTGATGCTGATAATGCTGTTGGCGCCGCTACCACCGTCGCTTTTCCTATCGTAAGCATCTCATTAAATTTAAAAGCCAACAACTATTCCCTTGATGATCCAACCTCCGCTCTTTTAGACAGGCAGGCTGCTGTAGCAGCAGCGGGACTAGCCCACTACTAGCAACTAGGCGTAGTAGTGCCAGTAATGGTAACGGTAACGGTAAGACGGTTGAGAAACAAACGGAGCAGACGGCGCAATAGAGAGCGGTGACGAGGCGGGGGGAAGGCTAAGTTCCACCTAAACCGGGATGAAAGGAAGTCGCGGACCTTGCTGCAGGCTCTCGCATGCACCGAAAGCAGTGGCGGCGACGGCGCCGGCAGCAGCAAAGAGTTTCGAGGCTCAGAACACGGTAGAGGTATAAGCCTTTATCGCGGCAGTGGCGCTGCCATGTGGAAAGCGCGATATTTGAAATAGCGTCGGTCGCGATTCGCTCACTGCTATTACCCCTTGCCCCTTTCTTATATCCCCCTCACCGCTCGGTACAGCCATCGCCTCTTTCTTGCAACTATACCCCCATTTTCTCTCCAACTATGCCATTTCGACCACTCTTCACCAGTCTTGTGTCTTCTCCTCCGCCGGCATCGTCCCAGCAGTCTCGACAGACTGCGAGCATAGCACACACCAGCTAGTTTTCCTGCAGCAGCAGCAGCAGCACCAGCGAAGGCTTCCAAATCTAAATATATGTAAAGGCTTATATGAAAGCGCGCTAGCCCAGCAGGACAAGGCCAGACCGCCGACGAGCTGCTTTGCTTGTTCTGCCTGAACGGTTGCTGCCTGAACCGGACTTCCTGCCAAAAGCATGTTAAAGGAAAGCACTCGAGTTGCTCTTCGAAAAAAATGGAAAAAAGGGCATTAGAAATAGGAGCGCAAAAAAGCAGCGTTAAATATATCGAAACGGCAACGGGAACTGCCGCCACAACCGATCGCAACGGCAATCACCCACCTACTCAGCTAAGACCAGCTCCAGTCTGCCGGAGTATAGCACCTACCTTGATACCGAAACAATATAAAGGCGGATATCTGGTTCACGCGCGATGTGGTGAAATGATGAGAAAAAAGGACCCGTCGTCATTGCAGCTAGCGGCTGCCGTCGCCGCCGCTGCGGTCGGTCACACAAGTGAGCAAGTGCCTGTGCGTGTGTGTGAATGAGTAGAACCCTCAAATTGCATTCGTTTGGATTGGTTTGTGTGGGCATTCGCTCGTTCATGACGAGAGTCAGACAGAGCGACCCTGTTGGATGGCTGGATGGCTGGCTGGCTGGCTGGCTGGCTGGCCTGTCTGCCATCCCTATCTGTCGTTTGCCTCTCGTCATCTTTGCTCGTTTTTTGCCCATTCTTAAAAGAATAAGATGGACTCGGCACCGCTGCACCGCCGCGTGCGACGGCTAGATCGTTCATAAGTTGAAGCAGTAGCAGCAGCAGTACCAGCAGGGCGAAAAGCACCATTGGGCAAAACAATGCGCGGCTCGTCGACACTCTCGTGGCAGGAGCGCCTTTTCGGTGACGCTGACGAGCGCCCGAGGCAGGACGAGAAGAGGTAAAGAGAGTACTCGAAAGAATGAGACGTCCCTAGTGACGACCTCCGCATTGAGGTTTATTATTCGAAAGAGTGCGTACCCGATAGAACGACCAAACGACTGATAAAAAGGAGAAAAAGATGGAAGGAGTGAAGTAATAACGTAGATGCGCGACGGGGCAGACGACCGCATCCTTACGCCACAAAACATCGCTGGCGCTAAATCGAATCGCTTTCGTTGCAAAAGGCGTCTGGTGCGTCGACGCCATCACTATTTCATGCAGCACAGGCATAATCTTCTTCTTGATACTTTGCTGAAACGATCCACCTAATATAACAGCTAATCCAACAAAAGTGGCAGTAGATGCAACTTCGCTTAAGATCAAGAGCGAGCTACGTAAAAAAGTTGACTATTTTTCGGGTCATCTTCGTTAATTTGAGCCATTCATGCAAAAATTCATGAAAAGATGCATGTAGCATAGATTTTATATAGGCATAACTAGCAAGAAAGGTCCTAGCTGCCAGGTCATGTCTGCTGTGACTTCTGACGGAACTACTGGAGCCCTTGTGCTCTGCAAGTAGTACAACGCAATCGCTGCTACTTTGGCTGATGTCCCTGCTGTCGCTGTTATTGCTCCGCCGTTGTTAACGTCGGAGTTGCAACACTCAGTAGTGGTGTTACGGCGGACCTGGCAACGCTACACGATCTGGTGCGACGTAGCGCATAGCCGCTAATAGCTTTGCCTTCTCAACACACCCAAGCGCCTGAGGCATTTGGGTCCTGTTCTGTCCAGGTCTACCCTACCCGAGCCCCATGATGCTTCAACTACTCAATAACATGATCATGCTCTGCTAATCCGGACTATGCCTATGTGTCTAGCAAGTTCTGCCTTTCAGCTTTCGCTATTAACTTGCGTAACAAGATAACGTCAAAACTACCTAGCCACCACCGGTTGGGCTTGTCACTCTGCTGCTGGTTGATCCGTTCGTCCATGGATTCGTCTGCTGGGAAGATCGCGCTTGTTGCTTGAACGCCAGGCAGAGCGTGCGTCACAGCTCGGTCGGGGGCGCACCCATCGATGCATATAGTTAGAAAGTTATTAGTAATTATCGAACGGGCTGCACTCAAAAGTCTTCGTAATGTGTTGATTCTCGTCACATTGCATGCGTGTCAGCAATTATCTTTTTACATATTATTTTTTTTTGTAGTCTTACCAAGAAATATGTTGCCTGTTGTCATACTGACTGGATCGCTAAATAATAGGTACTTTATTGATATCCGGTTACAATCATAACGATGGCCGATATCCATAAAAGATAGAAAAAGATCACTTTGCTCACTTTAATAGATATGACGGTTTCATCGATGTTTCGACACTTCAATATGCATTACCAGTACACTACATCGCTCATTGGTGTTTACTTAAATAATACTTTTAAACCGTCAGTGGATATACTTTGGCCGCTTCGTTCATTTCTCACCCCTTTTTCGCTCTCTTTTTAATAGGACAGTCGGTCTGAATATACACGCGCCTTTTCTTTCTCTTACGCACGGGACCGCTTGCCACCCTTCCATTGGCTCTGCTGCTCCTCCCCCCCCCCCCCCCCGAACCCATCACGGCACAGTGGGGTCGTCGGCAGTTCCATTGCTTGCCATTTTCGAGCCGCTTGCCTGCTGTCTGGGGTTACCCAAAACTGGGGGTTGAGTGGGAGAAGCTGGTGCTATTGCTGTTTTTAGATGAAATATTTTTACTCAGTAGCCATCTTTTAGCACCGCGGCTTCGTTTTCTACGTCC